CACTCTGCTAAGAAACAGTAACTTGCACTGTCCTAGGGCTTGAAAACAAGAATGTCTTTAGAAAAAAAAATCACCTTACAGACTATGATGTATGACAGCACTTCTGTGTTGTGCTGTTTTGTGTCACTTTCATATTGTAAAGACTAGAGAAACTTAGTATTTTCAGTTCAGAATTTCAGTATCCTTCAGACATTTTTCCCAAAGATGGGAACAAAAGAATTTTAATCTTTCATAAAGAAAGTTAATAGAAGTAAACAGATTTGACAAAAAATGTATTCTTAATGCCTCCTCTTTTCCTTTTTAAAAAGGCATATTTAACAGTACGTGCTCTATGGTAGAAACACTTCTACCAATGTCTCTAGGTCTGGGATTTCCTTCTGTAATGTTAATTGTCCACAAAAAGCCAGACAGTATTTCTGAAATACTTCTTTACCTTTCTTTGTACTTTGGTAGTTGCCTTCCTAGATCACCACTCGCCTCCCACCTAGAGTGATGCGTTTGTGGATCTGTTGGTGGAACACTTTGCAGAGTTGTTTTCCCGCGCACCCCATGTAAACTCTTCATACCTTTTTAAATCATTCACCAAAGCAAGCTGCTCCTCTGCTGCTCTCCTGCTGTCCATTTGGGCTTTCAGCTCTTCACAAGTAGAACGCAAAGCTTTCAACTGCTTCTGGTAGGCCGCTATCTCTTCTTCTTGACTCTGTTTCTTATCTTCTAAGCTTATTATCTGTTTGGTCAATTTTGAAGCTTTTGGGAGAAAAGAAACCCACAAAACTGGGTAACTGGCTGCAGCAGAACTAATTCAATCAACTAGAAAAAGTCCAACTAAACCAGTAATAAGTTCATTCCTCTTGTTCACAGCATTATGTAACAGTGGATTTGTCGATTTGTTTTATATTTTAATGGTTTGGATTCTTGTCAGTTGAGGTTTTTTTGCTGTCTCAAGCACTTTGTTTTGGGAAAATGCCAAAACTTCAGGACTATTTCCTTTCAGGGCTATAAGTTATTTGCTCATTGAAACTACTCTGAAAAATCCTTTGATGCAGATTACTAGTTCAGGAAAAGAACCTAAAACGGAACATGACTTTTGTAGCCTAGTAGATGGGTCACACAGCTAGAGACTGCCTGCTGTCTGTTCACTGATCTCCGAGTTTTTCTTGTAGCGTGTATTTCAGTCCCTGGATAGATTGCCAAAATGGTTCTAAGAACTGAATCAGCCCTGATTGGGATCTTTGTAGACAAAATGTGTCAGTGTTTACTAGGGATATTCTGACAACTCATACCAGAACCAAGCTATTTTGAGATCTGGAAAGAGGAACACCTCATTTTTGAGTATTGCCTGGCCTTTGGCCTTGGGTATGATGAGTTGTTTTTTTCTAAACAGATGTATGTAGAGAGATAAAACTCTAAAAAAGAAACTCAGAAACTTCAAAAATGGAAAGTAAAGTATTTGTGGAATTAGCAGATAAACAAAATCCAGGATTTTGCTATATAAGGTTCACTTGAACTGTTTTCATCAGCAACTTAATCACATGTAACTGTTTTTCAGAACATCTTGATCTGTGAATTAAGATTCAATTTTGCTTTTTAAAACTTTACTAAGAAATCTTACTTTCAGTTTGGGGATTTTTAAACTATAACATGCTTGTTCTCTTTCTAATATCCAGATAGAAGGCTATTAACAAGAAATACCCAGAGGAACCTACCAATGCAAAAAACCCCAACTATCAGTAGAAAAATTAGTCTTGGCCAAGAAATAATATTTACAGGAAAGAGAAGGAACATCAAGTGTTCTAAATTCAAGCAAATACAAACTTCTGATAAAACAGCAACAGGTAACAGAGTATTACTTGAAGATGCATGTAAATTTAAGCATTATCAAATTAAAAAAGTGTAAAATGAAATACTGCTACTTATAATCAGCTATATTAGGTGATAAACACTGGTACATAGAGCAGAATATTAAAAAATCCCTATATATTCTAAACTAAAGATTTAAATAAGCAAATACCAATCCATAAAGTTTAAAGCGCTCTTAAATTACGAAAATGAATGTATTGCTGTTTAACAGTTCTTACCAGTTCCTCAGAGGAAGCAAGTCAAAACGGAGCACGCTGTGGAATGTCAATAGGTGATACTGACATTTCTTTTCAGTATCAGTTGACAGTCCAGAGCTTGATCTCACATTAGTGTTACCTGCTTTCAGCAATGCTTTGTAGGCATGTATGAAGTTCCAAAAAAACCCACAACAAAATGCAAATGAAAACAATGAACAAGAAACTCCAACCAACACAAATAAAAAACCCCAGCCGGCAGTACCACCATTGGTGTAGTTCAAATGACGAGCAACTCAAGCACTTTACCTTCTTGAATATGTTGTCTGTGACTATCTTTTGCTTTCACTTGTTGAATTTCAAGTTGCTCCATCAACAATTTGTTTTCTTCCAAGACCAGCTTGGCCTGAGTTTGCAGCTGCTGCCTGCAATGGCAATCAGCTTATAAATAAAATGTAATTCAAATATTAATTTCTGTCCAAAGAAAATACAGAACTGACTTTCAACAGTGTAAACTTCGGAAACCGTATTTGAATCTCTTTTTAAAAAAAAAAAAGAAAAACCCTGATTGAAAGTGATGTCAGGACCCAAGGTAAGCTTATAGAGACAGGAACTGGCAACTCTCAAAATGTAAATTATTTTAAATAACATTTAAAATCTTTGATTAACTGAAGTAAAAATTCCCTACAGAGAGAAGGAAAAATATGTATATATGAATTAGAATCATAGTATCATTGAATGTTTGAGGCTGAAAGGGACCTCTGGAGGTCATCTGCTCCAACCTCCCTGCTCAACCAGGGGCCACCTGCCCAGGACTATGTCCAGAAGACGGCCTTTGACTATCTCTAGGGATGGAGACTCTACAACCTCTCTGCACAGCAGAGCTCACAGTGAAAAACTGCTTCCTTGTGTTCCAAGGGAACCTCCTGTGTTTCAGCTTGTGCCCATCGCCTCTTGGCCTGTCACAGGGCACCACTGAGATCTGGCTCGGTCTTTAACCCCCCTCACGCCTGTACAGACACTGGTAAGATCCCCCTGAGCCTTCTCTGCTCCAGGCAAAACAGTCCCAGCTCTCTCAGACTTTTCTCATGTGAGAGAATTAAAGGTACACAGTGGTACCAAACGATTTGGAGACAGCTATGTAACTACTACCCAAATTCATTATGAAAACACATGATAAACTCTTGGCTAAGATTTGGATTTACTTGGCTTTGCTCTTTGCAAAAATACTGTCAGTGTGCCTTACGGGCCTATAAAGAAGATGGGCATTTGAACTATCCTGAGCAGAGAACTTAACTCTCTGCTTTATAACTAGCATTAATTCGCCTTTCAGGTAAACCAATACCAGTCCCTGAATAAACAATCTGAACTCTCCCTGAGAGTCAGTCGATGTTATTGGTTAAATCTGCAGAGAGACTTAAGATTGAAAGAGACAGCTCAAGCCATGAAGTCCTCCTAGTGTAGTCCCTGAGCCATGTGATCCCTCTATCATGAGTGCAGTAAGAATTTTAAGTTAACTAATCACAGGGGATGCTCTTCAGGAACCTGTGATGCTGGTTAGGAATCACCTTCCCATTTCCACTTTTGTTTATGGTGAATGAATACCCAGTGGTTGTTCTAGTAACACTGCCCTCAGTTCTATAAATGCAGCTTAAATGTTCTTTGCATCCTCCCTGACTCCTGTTCCTGATGTGCTTACAGGAAACAACGTTGTTCTTTCTCAGCCTTTGTTTTGCTGAAGGAGAAAGGCTGATCTGTCTGAACTCCAAATAAAAGAGGCCCTCCCTTTCCTTGGCTACAACACAAACCCTTCAGCTTTGTTTCTCTGTGCTTAATTCTGGGTGACTGGGACTCTCCAGAGATTTCCATATAATTGTGTTGTTATTGCCCAACCTGTACTAGAAGGACCTATTATTCTGACATACCACAGGGCTAGACTAACTTTTTTTTTTTCTTTATAGCTGTTGCCCTACAAAGCTCACAACCCTCTTGGAATTAACCAGCATGACCAGTCTCTTCTCCATCTCAGTTACCAACTGATGAATGCTGAACTTGGGTAAATTGTTATTAAGCCTCATATGTATTTTATACTGCTTAATTAAATTATGTTTGCATTGTTTCACTTCTCAAGAACATCAAATGCTTTTAATGCCGTATTCCAATACCATTTTGTATTAATGAAAAATTGATGTCATTGGCACATTCCAATTATTAGTAGAAAGGTAAGAGTTAAGTACGTACCCTGCAAGGGCTGGGTCATAACGAGATGGGCTGCAGGTATAAAACTGCACATTCACTATTTATCTCTTCTGCAAAATTATTTCAGGCATTGCATATCAGCATTGTTTCAACAAGACATAATCATGACTCATTAACTCTTCACCAAAACAAAATTTTGGGGAACAAAATTTTTCCTTAAGATGTCTAATCTTAGAAGTTTGCATGCAACAAGCAAAATAATTACTAGCTTTTAAATTAATTTCTAGTAATAAAACTTGCCATTCCGTAGGGCTAATAAAGTTATTTTTGTTTAATTGCTCATGCAGGCTTTCATTCTCCTTCACCAGCTCTTCAATTCGTACTTTAAAGTTCTTCATATCCTCCTGGAAGACAAAGGACTTAACATAAAATTCTTCAGAGGTGTAAGTATTTTGTTTTAATGTTTATATCAACAAAAACTTTTATAAATATGCATGCCTGGTGCTTTGTAATTCTTCTGTTAACAGCACATTATCTCACTACTCGTTTTTAATTCAGATGTGCATACTCAACTTCTAAATTGTTTCCTCAATCTAGTAATATTTGATAAAAAAATAATTAGATATTTGAATTGTATTATATTTTTGCCAAGTGTCATTTGAATTAAGCAAATGTAGATACTTAAAATATGAATTCAGAAAAATGAATTCTGGAATTTACTATACATTTTCAGTATGAATGACATGAATTTCAATATGGTAGGATAATATTACAGTTAATTTACAGTAATATAAATCCTTGTTGTTTTATTTCTGCTTTAGTGTGTAAGTATGTTTTCTTTAAATGGTAACTTGCCTCATGTTCAAGATTTAAATTTTCCATTTCTCTTATTCTATCTTCATATGCCAACAGAAGAGGTGACAAGTACTTCATATCCAACTTAAAAATAAAATAAAAAAAAATCCATGTAAATCAATTACAAAATGTAATCTTATCAATCTATTTTACTTCTTCTCCTGCTATATACTCCTAGTTTTAAAAGCTAGTAAGGAGGTTTGTATATGCTCTGCAGACAAAAGCGCAGGACTTAACAAGCATGCAGACCACCGTACGCAAAATGACGCTGCATAAACACTTTACGGCACCGCCTGAGGAGCAAGCCTTGGAAAGGACAAGGTTGGATGCTGTACTTGCACACTTCACTAAAAAGCAGCTATTAATTATCAGAATGTGGAGGCAAATGAATACAAAACCAAATCAAAACACTACAGTGAATACAGTTAATGAGAAACAAATTTAGGCCAGATTCATTAGTAAGTGGGAAGGGAATATCTACAGTCTCAAACCTGCATCTTTAAAACTAAGTACACACATAGGTGATTCTTAAATATTATGGCTAGAATCACAGATCAGAAAGAGGACTTCTCTATTTCTGTATAGCTTTGAATAACATTTCAAGGGGAAATTGTTCCATGTATTACAAATGCGTTCAGTTTCACAGCTTACTAAAGTCTCTAGGCTGCCAGTGGGTCCCATGACCAGTCCTACCATCCAGATCACCAAAATACGCTTTTTTCTTTTAGCATCATCTTAAACATAATCACAGGAGAAGATGAACAATCAAACCTTGGAACAAACTATATGCTAGACAGAACAAACTGAAGATGTTATTTATGATTCTCAGAATAACAGTACTTGCACTTAATTTGCATTTGGCAGTTGAAGGCGGGTGACTGTACGCAGTCTGTAGCTTACTGTACATTCAACTTCAGCTGCACACGTTCCTTGCAAAATTCTGCCCTACATCCTTTTCTGCAACAAACATCAATGTTTGTTATATTCTACTATTGTGTGATAGTGCAGCACAGTAACTAAATAATATTCTGAATATTTTTATTCCAGTAAAGAAATTCTACTAATTAGGAATTAACCAATAGGTGAAAATGTTATTTTACTTACCAGCCATGGTGGTGGAGGTCCTTTCATGGGTAAACTTTTCAGCTTTAGATGCTAAAGTAGATTTAAAAAAAACATACTGAAATTATTTCCTGCTTTTTGAAGCACCAGCCACTGACCACTGCAGTCACAACTATTACCCCACACAAGCTTATGTTTCTAATTACTTGTGTTGCATTTGTAATGCACACTCAACGAAGTCAACAAAACTGCAAGATCAGTATGTTACTAGTATATGAGAAAGCCTAACTCCTAACAGTTAGACTTAACAATAAATGCGTATTTTAAAGTTCAGAAAAGGCCTACGCTGTTTTGTAGTCTTAAAAACTCAAAGATGCAAGGACAATGGGACATTTCAGTATAAACTGCCTTTAGAACCAAGATTCTCACCTCCTCTTGGGACAATGGCCTGAATTTAGTTTGATAGCGACTTAATTCTACATTTAAACGATGGACCGTCATTTTCAAAGCATCATTTTCATCTACCAGTTCTTGTGCTTGTTGTCTGAGAAAAAGTAATTCTGTAGCCTCCTCTATTAAAACAAATATTCAACAAGAAAGTTTAATCAAAATTCACAAAATGTTCACAATAACTTGTTAATTGTCAGGAAAAAAACCACCTCAATAAGCTAGAATTGTAAGAGAACTTCTCTTGAAATACTGTAATGGAAAATTGCATGAGACATTACTAACAGAAAAACGCTAGATTTCAAGGATCACAATAAATTTTTTTCACAATCATGTAAGTATTCCTTGACAAATGTAAAAATGTAGAAAATACTGTTCAGAAACTACTTCTGAATGGACACTTCCTCAAATCAGTAAGTGGAAACTTACTGCTGCAGGACTAGGTTGTAAGAAATTAAAAAAAATCAAACAGGATAAATATGGAATAGTTTGTATGTTTCTCCCACCTTCTCTATGTGCCTTCTCTGCAGCCTCTTTAAGTTTTCTGTTTTCTTGTTCTAGTCTCTTCAGCTTTAATTGCTGTTCTTCCATTTGCTGTTTTGTTCCCTCAAATTGTTGGACCATAGCCTGGTATGCCTTGCTCAGAGTCCAGTTTTCTTGTTTTAGGTCTCTGAACTTTTCTCTAGTCGTATTTTCCCGGGCTTGCCTTGCCCGAATAGACACATCTGTAATGCCACAGTACCATGTATTTAAATGGTATTCAGACTTGAATAAGAGTTTAAGCAAATTGTAATACCTTTTTTTCTAACATAAGCATTATGTATGAGTGATACTTTATAGGACATAAATAATCTCATGGCTCCCAGAAGATAAGGCCAGAGAGAATGAAAAAAGTGGATTTGGAAAGAGCACTATATAGTGGAGCGACTGCAAGTTCCCATCTTTTTCTCCGACACACTGAAAATATTCCTTCCTTAAAAGGAGAAGAAGGTGTCGGCACACCTCTCCCTCCATTGCCTCAGTGACCAGAGAGGTAAAAAACAGAAATAACCGCTGCAGTAAGCAAAGTGTGGGTGTCCTGCATGTACTAGTCAGTCCTCTTGAACCCTCCTTGTTTTAATCACCTACGTGATGGAAGCTTTACCCTCCTTCCCACTGAACAGGCTTCAGTATCACAGAACAGTAAGCACTTTTTTATCTCCTGTACAGGAGAAATACTTTTTTCCCCCACAAATTAGGCTTAGAGAATAGAAGCAGGAGAATGTATTTTACATAAATATGCATATTATTAAAGTGAAGATGTGCAGTAAAGTCACAGAAAATTCAGAAGTACCTGGGGATGGTGGAGGCTTTTCTCGTATCAGATTTTCAGCTAATGATTTTCCTTCCTAGTAGAGAAATAAAAGAGACAGCAAAAGAATCAGCAAATAAATTAAAATGTAATTGAAGAAGTTGAAGAACTTTGTTCTTTGAAGGGGGGCGGGGAAAAAAACCCCACACTACTTTTTTCCACCTATTGAGAAAGAACTACAAGCTGAATTTATACTAACGTATTTACTTGAGGTAAACGTTATCAGTATACAAACTTGGATCTCCAAGTTTTTATAAAACAGCCATGAAGTTCATAGAATGGCCCAGGCTGGAAGGGACCTTAGAGATCATTTAATCCAACCTCCCTGTCATGGGCAGGGACGCCTCTCAACTAGATCAGGCAACACATGGGGACGGAACAGGGACTGAACCCATGACCTTGATGTTATCAGCACCACGCTCAACCGACTGAGCTAACTGGCCCCCTAAGTTCTGTAAGGATATGATACCATGTAATTTAACGTAATGAGACATTGATGACTACATGAATCAAAACTCAGAATTTCGAAAAATAATATACATGGTCAAGAACATGATAGCAAAAAAGTGATGTTAGTGATGTTAACAATGGAAGAACTGACCAATTTTGTAAATAATACTTCAGCAAGTTGATCTGAGAAATTAAATTGTGAGTGTTCTTTTTCAAGCTAATGAATGCAGTCAGATGGGCCCACCTGGAAAACCAGATAAAAATCTGCTGAAGCCAGGCTCAGAATTTGAAAGTTACCAGTAAGAGCTATCTCTTGCTATAACATGATGTCTCCAACTCTTGGTATTTCATTTGCATGAGGAACAACAGAATATATATATTTTTGAAAAGTAAAATCATCATCCTCAACTTTTGTATGGCCTGTTTACCTATATATAAGTATTTTTTCAAAAGGAATGATTAGCCGTTCTTGTACTCCAAATGAAAAAAATCCCTAGTGGCAATAAATTAGGGGTTTTTAGATGACTGTAAACTATCAGCTCTTTATAACATCTTTTTTTGTTAAATGCATCACAAGTGAACCTTCATATAGGTCTTACCTTTAAATTCAAGCCAAGATTTTGGTCTTCTGCTAGAGAAAAACAGATCTTTCAGTCAATTAAAACCAAAAGTATTGGTAAGTCCATAAGCTGTAAGGGTTCATATGGGCATGTAAGCACAAGAATTATATGCTGCAAACAACTGTAAGAAAGTCCTCCTCAAACCGCAGATCAGATCACAAACTTTTCATTACCCCTTTCATGGTGCATTAGGATACTGATGTGAGACCAACCTTTAGCTCACACTGTACAAAATCAACCATGGAATGAACCCGTACTGTTGTCTTCCACTACTACTTTAGAATTGGACTGAATGACAAATTAAATATTTTTATTGATTTTACTGTGCTTGAATCTTACTGCTTCTCTGAACAAGGCAAGTGCAAATCTGACAGCTTCTAGTATCTGCAGAACTTACTATGTAGAAGAGGGATTTGAAACAGTTTACATATCCTATTCCTTCAGTTTAATGCATCCACTTCCCAAATAATTTTATAAAGCAATCCATTCTTTCTAGATATTGTTCTCTACAAAGCTTTTCAAGTAACTCCACTCAGAGGAGTTTCAATAATATTGAAACAACACTGGGATCTGACACAAACAAAACTTAGAAATACAAAGATTTTTCAAGACAGACTCAGTTCTGCCTTTTTCTTTGCCCTCTATTTTTACACTGGCTGTGGATTTTGAGTTTCAGTTCCACAGTGAATCTAGACTGGTCTTCCCTCTTTATGGAGATTTTTAATTTTCTATAGCTACTAGAAATGCCTCAGTATTTAGCAGCATTTTTTTCATTGTTCTTTTTTTTTTAAAAAAAAAAGAATATACTGTTATAATTTAGTATTAGATTTATTTTATTAAAAAATTGGTTTTCCTCATGGTATTAAAAGGTATGGTATTTTGACTTACTAAGTTTGTTTACCTTCTATTTGAACGTTTGACTCATCCACCTGCACCTGAAACTCAGTTTCATGAGGAGGTGCCTCTTTCTTGTCAGCGTCAGTTATGGCTGATGGTGGAAGCTCTGCCTGTGTGAAAATAAGACAAGCCCATCTAAATCATGATAATGCTGTTAAAATAGCCCACATATCTTGATATCTGTATGAAACCTTTAGTGTTCTAATGTCCCAGTCACATTGAGATTTGTACTCCAACATTTTAAGATAATAAATTATAAGAAATACTGGGGTTTTGTTTAGGGCTCTATGTAAATAAAATCTAAACCTGAAAGATCAATGGCAAGTAGTCTTTTAGTTCACAAGGCAAATATTCTGTTGCCTTATTCATTTACAAGAGTCTGTGAAATTATCCTGCTTTTGCTTGTTCACTGTGTCATATCTCAACTTAATAAAAGATCAACCATTTATTTACTATATCACAGCACTGAGGGATTAATGAATAATTTTTAGCATTGTTTTTGCTGGTTTTCCCCTGCTGATTGCATACCAGTGTCCCATGTATTCTGCTAACTCCCTCATATTTTTTTTCCTTCCCTCCTCTTACTGACTACTACCTCCTCACCTAGGTGTCTTTTCTGATTTCTTTCATATACATAGTATTTTAGTGCCTCTTTACTACTCACTTCTTCCTGGTTGTTAAATTTTTGTACCATTTTGGACTAAATGTGCCTTAGGGGATTATTAAGCTGCTCACTGCTGGTTAAGACAATCCAAAACTGTCACACAGAAAAATTCGCTGGTCTTTAAGACACCAAGATAATTATATTGTTTTATTCTGAATCTCCCTGTCTCTATATAGGCCTCTGCTCATTAGCACAATACTGAATCATTAACTAAGCTTTCACCGTTTAGAAGTTTCTAGTGCTTTTAACAAATAATTCACTACATAAGTATCACACTCAACATAAAATACTGGACATCTTAAAAGAGTAAATTATGCACAATAATTATACACAATACCAGTGTTTCCTAATAAGAAAAGGCTGCTAATAATCAAGAGATACAGTATCTCTGAGGATCAACAAATCCAACTCATGTAGGAGTAAACAAACCACAAAAAGAAGCATGAAAATAAAACCTGAATAAATGTCTGAAGAGTAAGAGAATGAAAAGCCTCAGAAATATTTAATATTTGCATTAATATATAAAATCATAATATTAATTAACACATTTGAAAATCCTACCTTTCCATTTTTGCAGGGAACAGCATAAATAGCATTGGTGCCAAAGCTTTCACCCCTTTTCTCACTACTCTGACAGCTGGACTCTGCCTCTTTATCAGCATCTGAAACGTAGGTGTCCATGTCCTCCTCCTCACCATAATTGCCTGATATTTCCAGGGACTGTAGAGGAGATCTGTCACCACCATCAAGTTTCCAGTTGGGCCTGAAAGTAGAAAGCAGTTTAAAGCCTGTTTCAGTGTTGCTTACTCTTTCAAAAAAATGGTAGAACTATCAGTCTTATGACATACACAACAAATCCACACAGCTGACACAAACGGACACCTAAGCTTCTGTTAGCTGCAAATCAGGAGCTACAGATCCTCTGCCAAATTAGAGATAGAAGGCTGCTAATTCTACTGCAAGGAGAGACAGAAATAATTATTTAGCATAAAGGAAATATCTGGCATGTAATTCAGATGACTCCTCAGTGATTAACTGTTCATATAAATGGTCATTATTTCACAGAAATAATGCTTTTACTTGTGACTGCCGTACAGTCCAAATCTCTGCCTCTGAAGACTGTATGCATGACATCACTCTTTGAGAAATGAAATAAGGATTGTACGCACATCACACCCAATTTATGATGCTGTGAGAAAAAAGTGGCTGTTACAGCAGCAGTTTGCTGTAACTCTAGTAAAATTGTGTCATTGACAGATTCTATTTCTAAGATATGAAACCAGGAAGCATACACTACCCCATTCTGAGCTCTGTGGCTGTTGCATATGGTTCAAAACATTCTTGTTCCACACAGGTGGAATCACCTCGCTGCCGAGGCTGAGGAATAGCAACAGTGCGCCCTGTTAGTGCTGTTGCCAGGACAGCTGCTGCTAGAGCAGATCTGGAAGAAAACAGAATAAAGCAATGAAACAACACTGATGTCTTCTCTGTCCTCCACATTTTATGTTTTTGCCATTGCAACATGTCTTCACTATTTAAGCAAAGCAAAATGTTCACAGTTAACAAACATAAACACCACTGAAGGTGCTAAGGGACTGCTTATAAACTATTAACTCCCAAAGTAAAGCACAAAACTGGGCAAGCTATTGTAACACAGCTATCTAAGAGGAAAGTACAATACCTATCAGTTTTCCCAAATCACATGCATGAAAATCATGGAATATACTGAGTTACATTCCCAAAACTGACATCGATGAATTACAGTACTTAGCGTTTACTTTAGCCATAACAATACTACCTGGCCCTGTTGAAAAAACATTCTGTGTTCTGCTATTTTATCTCCTAGTTTCCATTATTCCCTACTCTGAGCCTTTCCCTGATAATGCTGGAGTTGTTAATAAATGCTGGCACACCGCAAACTAGGGCAAGCCTAGGTAGGTAGAAATGCCTATTTGTGGGATGCTGCAGAGTACAGAGAAGAGTAAGATGAAGAGGAAAAAACAAGCAGGAACAAAGATTAAAGGAGAGAAACAGTGAGGACTATAACACTAATGACAACAACTGGAGGTCAAAAAGGAAGAAGAAATGAACTAGGATTAAGCAGAAATGTTTCAGACACTAGAAAGACCACAGAAAACAACCAGAATTGAACTAAGCATAGAGAAAACAAAACTGTGAGAAACTACAAATGAAAGAAAAAATATATGTGGATCTTCTATTGAACTTGCCTGTATAGCTAATTCAAATTCAATCCAAGAGGGGTTTACAAGCTAGTTTTTTAATTTACTGCTTTTTTTTAACATGCAATAAAATGGCATATATAAATAATACTTAATTTACGCTTTTCAAATGAGTTAAAATTTCCTGCCTCATGCTGCTAGTACTCCTACAGTCCTATATTTTACTGTAGCAGCCAAATCAAAAATGGCTCTAACTTTTAGTCCACTTAAATTTAATTGGCTCAGATTTATAATATGATACATATTGCTAATTGTCGCTGTCCTCATTATGTAGCATGCTTAGAAGCAGGAGAAAAATAGGTGTATCTTTAAAGTTCAAAGAAGGGGAATGCCCCAGTTAAAATATATTCTATTTATCAAAAGCTTTATGTAAATACTGCAGCATGAACATGCAATTCCTCTAATCATGCTTTTCTAGTATGCTATTGTAGCTGATGAAGCAAAAAAACCCCCGAACTCAAAACGTACCTGGGCCTTTCTGGAGAAGGGTTTGGACTACGAGGGGGAGGGGTGCGGGGAACGGCAGGTTTAGGAGCTATGGTAGCAGCAGGGACCAGGCCATGAGCTATATGTTTCTAAACAATTTAAAATAAAATTAGTTGACAATGACTTTAAGGATCACAATGAAAACAACACAGAATTGAACATGCAAAAAAACTAACAATGCAAAATAATATAAAAAGAACATTTACATGCAATTAATGTAAACACAAGACTTGAAATGGATCCAAGTTTAAATTTTTAACATGTAGGAACACCTGCTAATGAGGGTTAGAAATTTAATTTACCTAAGGCCCTTGAATGTAGGTTTTCCACCCACTATAACAGAATCTGCAAAACCAGAATTTTAACTCACTCAATTTTGGGTTTTTCCTGTATATATACACAAGAAAGGAGTACTAGAAATTAACTTTTTTCACAATACCTGAACCCTGCTTCAGAGTAACAATATTAGTCCCTTTCTTGCAGAAAGAGTCTGACAGTTAGAAGTAATCCTCAGTCACAGCAGTAAGAGATGGAAGAAAAAACTATCACTAGACAAGTCTTAACAGTCAAAGGCTCAACCTGAATATAAAAGGAAAACAAAAACCTAATGTGTTTTCACCAGCAATCCAATTTTTTTTAAAAAAGGGTAACATTAAATAGCAGCTAAAAAAACCTGGGACTAGAGCCCCCTACAAAGAGTACTTTGAATGGAATTACGTAAGGGTCGAGGTTGGAAGGGAGCTCTACAGATTGTCTAGTCCAAGTCCCTGATCAACGCAAGGTCAACCAGAGGGGGTTAACTTGTTCGACCACCTTCACAGTATAAACAACTTTTACAGCTGTTGTTGCTATTATCATATAACTATTCTTATTACACTATGTTTAAGTTGAATTTTCTGTGTTTGAACTTGTGCCCGTTGCCTCCTGTCCTCTCTCCAGGCATCCGAAAGCACCATGTCATAATAAAACCCATCACCTTCAGACAGATGTTACTTTTTTTATGAAGTAAACAGGCTACGTTTTTGCTATTTCTGCTACATTTTTTCCCCCTCAAATGTTCTTTAATTGCCTTCTCCAACAGGATAATGAACAGGTGAACTGGGAAATATTTCTGTCTTCACAGGAAGCCACATCAAATAGCTAAATGCTGCATTAGAAAGATGGTCTTATCTTGCAAACGGTCATATCTTGCAAATCTTCCCTAATTTTGGAAGCCAATTTGGCATGCACCATTTGATGTACCAAAGGCTGTTGGCTGTAGGTATCTTACTGTAACAACCAGAGATTACAACCGAGGTGAAAGGATGCTGGTATCCCACAGTAAAAGGAAAAACAACCCTTAAGATCAGTATTTCTATTCTAATATGAAAAAAAACCCCAAAATCGATTACTCGAAATACGTCAGCAGGTAATACCCGCATCACTGCTGCAGCCCTTGGCTGCTCTAAGCTTCCACCACACACTTTCACCGGTTCGCTCGGGGTGCGCTGCGCTGCGGGG